TCAATCCATCTAAAAACTGCATCAATCTCTGCTGGTGCAATTGCTCAACATATTCCTTCGATTTCTTACAACCACAATTTGGAAAAGGTACAAGCACATCATATTCAGCCCATAGTTCCTTCAGTTTTGTGAAATATACAGCAACAGAGTCAGATCCCTGTGTCAACCTAGAGATTCCTCTGTGCAATTGGAAAATTCTCACTCGATTTACTTTGTCAAAGCGTTCCTGAAGATCCTCCCACACTGCATGTGCGTCAGAGGCATAGATGATACCACTCAGTAGATCCTTCAATACTGAATTCATAATCCATGAATGCACTATAGCATTGCATGTCTCCCATTGTTCATGCAATTCAGCTTCAAATGAAGCCTTAAGACATGTTCCAGTAATGAAACCTAATTTGCGCTTTGCCTTCAAAGCAAGGCGCATAGATCTACTCCATAGACCACAGTTTTCAGATCCTATGAGTTGAATTGGAATCAACACCAATCCAGGAGTATCAGATGGTTGTAGAAACAAGGGATGAGTGTAGTCTATTTTCATTTTTTCCGCCATTATCATACAATTTCAAGCTCAAATATTTCAGAGAAAAAAAAAAACTAAAAATTCGATTAACCTTTTGATGAACTGAGAACAGAGTTACGAGATATTAGCTGCTTACTGAATCGAGCTTACAGATCTTCCTCCATAGCTCTGATACCATGTTAGAAGAAGCTTTGGAGAAGAAGAAACTATTCTCATTAATGCTCAATTGAGTTGAAAGAGATACAAACGTGCTGATATATACACTCTATCTAATAGTTAGTTATCAACTAACTATAATTATACTAACATCCCTAACTTCTAGATGTATACACTTAGGTCCCTATTATATGTACATCTATACAATTAACTCCTCATTTCAATAAACTTGATCACAAACAAGGTGAAAGTCAATTGCAATATGCTTCATCCGACTATGAAATACCGGCTTTTGGCAGAGATAAGTGGTGCCGATGTTGTCACAGTAAACTGTTGGAGTAGTGGAAATAGGAACATAGAGTTCAGACAACAAATTCATAGTCCAATTTCCTTCGGCAACGGCTCCAGCAACTGCTCTATATTCTGCTTCGGTGGATGAACGAGCGATGGAATGTTGTTTCTTGGAGGACCAACTAATGGGATTTAAACCAAGATAAATGACATAAGCAGAAGTGGATGATCTATCAGTGAGATCACCTGCCCAATCAGCATCAGAATAAATATGGAGTGCATGATCAGATTGTTTCTTGAAGAAGAGGCCATGTGTTATTGTTTGTTTGAGATAGCGTAGAACACGTTTAACACCAGTCCAATGAATTACAGTTGGACGATGCATAAACTGAGAAAGCTTGTTCACAACATAGCTTATGTCAGGGCGTGTGAAAGCTAAGTACTGCAATTTGCCAATAGGAGAGCGATATTGCTTTGCATCAGTGAGAGGAGAGCCATCATCCAACTTAAGTTGCGTGGAGGTAGATAGCGGGGAGTGAACACCTTTGCTTTCTTCCATTGAAAACTCTTTGAGCACATCTAAGATGTAGTTATATTGGGAAAAGATCAAACCATCTGCACTTGAAAGGACTTCAACACCCAGAAAAAAATGCAGTAGCCCAAGGTCCTTTAGAGAAAAGCGTTTAGACAAGGTATCCTTGATATTGTTGATAGTTGTCTCATTATTGCCCGTCACGACAATGTCATCAACATAAACAAGAAGATATAATGTTATACCCATTGAGTGAAAGATAATAGGGAACTATCAGACTGGGATTTTTTAAAATAAAGTGAGATAAGAAAGTCCTTGAGTTCATTATACCACGCCCGTGGGGCTTCTTTGAGCCCATAAATAGCCTTTTGAAGGTGACATATGTGATTTGGATAGTCTGGATGTTCAAAAACTTTTGGTTGCTTCATATATACATCTTCTTGAAGATAACCTTGAAGGAAAGCATTATTGACATTTAGTTGATGAAGGGGCCAACCACAACAAGTGGCAAAAGAGAGCACAATGCGTACTGTTATGGGCTTGACTACAGGACTGAATGTGGAATGAAAGCCAACACCGGGACGTTGTGTAAATCCCTTGGAAACTAAGCGTGCTTTGTAACGATCAATAGAACCATCAACCTTCTGTGTTATATGAAAGATCCATTTGTTGTCAACAATGTTGTGCTTAGGATGAGGAGGTATGAGCTCCCAAGTTTTGTTTTTGAGCAATGCGTCAAATTCTTCTTGCATACTTTGGATCCTTAGATGCCTGCTTCACAGTGGAAGGTGGGAGAAGAGAAGGTAGGGTGAAGATGTTATTTTGTGATCGAGTAGTGATACGTGTAGGTGAAAGGAGAGGTGGAGGTGAAGGCCGATTGGAGGGGAGGGAACTAGTTGTTGAAGAAGAAGAAGAGGAAGAAGACGAAGAAAGGAGGAGGAGGAGGAGGAGGAGGAGGAGGAGCAGAAGAAGAAGAAGAAGAAGAAGAAGAAGAAGAAGAAGAAGAAAGATTATGCCATGATATTCTAGAATTAGAAGATTTGAATTTTGAAAAGAGATTTTCATAAGGAAAGATGTTCTCTAAAAATTTGACATCTCTGGAAAAATAAAGTTTGGATTTGACTGGATCAAAACATTGATGACTGTGATATTGTATTGAAAATCCAAGATAGACACATGGTGTTGATCTGGGTTCTAATTTATTTCTGGGATATGGCTTCAGCCATGGGTAACAGACACAACCAAAATTACGAATTACTTTGAAATTTGGTTGTTGTCCAAATAAAGCTTGGTAAAGAGAATATTTATTTTTGGTATTTTTGAAAGAAGGAAATCGATTAATTAAGTAAACCGGTGCTTGAACTGCAAAACTCCAAAATGAAGGCGGCAAAGATGCTTGGTGGAGTAGTGTAGCTGTTTCAATGATATGTCGATGTCGACGTTCAACCAAAGCTACACGCTGAGGGGTATAAGGAGGGGAAATTAGGTGTTGAATTCCATGGGTAGATAGAATGGGTTTGAGAGCTTGAAATTCTCCTCCACCATCAGCATATAGAGTGAGAAGTTTGGTCTGGAAGTAATTCTCAATTAATGGTTTAAATTCTGAAAAAACTTTCGACACATCACTTTTATTTTTGAGAGTATAAAGCCATGCGTACCTTGTGAAATGATCAACAAAAATAACATGGTATAACTTTTGATCAATGGAGAGAACTGGAGAAGGAACCCACACATCAATGTAAAGAATATCTAGTGGTTTAGAACTATGCAAAGATGAAATAGAAAAGGGATGTTTTTTTTTGTTACACCCCATGTTTTCGTACATGAAAGTATGCATAAGTGAATTGATGAAAGCTCGGGAATGAGATGTTACATCCCGCATTTTCAGACGTTAAGGTTTCATCGTAAAGTTAATCGACGCAAGCTCGGGAATAAGATTATTTTGAGGTTACAAGTATTATGCTATTTCAATCAAGGGATAAGTAAATTCGTGAAGATGAAAGGGTAAGCAAATCGAAGAAAATGAGTTTCATCGAAGCTTGGCAATTTGGGATAAAATACGGTCCGAGCTAAAATACCCAGTATTTATGGACTAATACCATACAAGGTACCACATGGCCATAATAGTAAGTGTGTTGGAAGTAAGTAATATTTTAAGTAATTTGAGATAATTGTTAATTATGTGGATTGGTTAATCATTGATTTTTAGATGAAGATTAACAAGGTAATTAGAAATTATGGATAAATATTATGGGGGACACTACCCCAACGTGGCAGCCAACTAAACCCCTAAGGGTGACTCTTTTGGCTAGAATATAGGTGGCACAATTAGGAAAAATAAGTGGCCTTGTAACGTGAGTCATACAAAATAGTCTCTCTAATTCATTAATGAGAGATTCATACAAAATTGGCAATGTAACGTGATTCATACAAAAGTTACAACAAATTGCTCTCATCTACTACATTAGAAAAGAAAGCTCCAGTAAGGGTAATAGTTTATAATAGCGACATAGTTGCTTCAAACCTTTCATACAAAGAAGACCATTTAATATTATAGCAACGTGGGATTTGCGATTCTAAGGGAGTATGGTGGAATCTTTCTCAAGAATATCATACGGATTGTTCCTATTTCGATCTCACCGTTACGTGTTTCATCGCGATTGGCGTGTGTTAGAAGGATTGTTAAAAGAATCGGTTCAGGTATGTCAAGGCTATTCCTTCTTTCTTTTTGGCATGATCCAAATAATACAAATGAAGCAAGTAAAATACGCAACTTTCACAAATGGATCCATTCATAGAAATATTAGGGTTGTCTATATTCTTGACTCCCCATGTGAATTATTATTATATCTTCTGTTCATGGGTTTCAGAAAAATACGTATTTGATAAAGTTTATTCGAAAGGCATATCGATTTTATGGCATTCCGACAAAATCTTATTAACGTATTTCTTATGCATTTCATGCATTTATACATGTACATTGACCCATGACCAGATGGCGTTATATACACATATATGTATATTATATTTGTATGGAATATTGGAAAAGGTTACGACGTTATATACGCATCACCACCCGATCAGTTGGTATACGTTGATGATTTGCCTACAGTGGCAGAGATGATATGATGGGATGCCCTTAGAGGCTGATGATGTTATGAACATGTACCTATGCACGACTTGACATTCATACACATATGCATGACACTATGATTATTTCATGATTTAGGGAGTTATCTAGACATACAGGTTGAGTCATTTACTCTATATTTCTTCCATGTCTGTTATGTACTTATTTATGTGCCTTACATACTCGGTACATTATTCGTACTGATGTCCCTTTTGCTTGGGGACGCTGTGTTTCATGCCCACAGGTCCCGATACGCAGGTCGAGAGCCCTCCAAGTAGGCTATTAGCTCAGCGAAAGATGTTGGTGCGCTCCATTTGCTTCGGAGTTGCTTGTTTGGTTAGTATGATTTAGACGTGTATTGTACGTAAAAGATTGTATGGCTTTGTCGGCCTATGTTCAGTATACGAGTGGTTATTTTGGTCCATAGGCCCTTATGTCTTATTTATAAGTTGGTATTACATGTTGTACCCTACTTATCTCACGGCAGCCTTCCGGCTCAGTTATCTATGATAGTATGACACGAAAAGATACGTTATGTAGGTACTCGGTTGAGTAAGGTACCGGGTGCCCATTGCGGCCATCGGTTTGGGTCGTGATAAAAGTGGTATCAGAGCAGTTCTATCCTAGGGAGTCTACAAGCCGTGTCTAGTAGAGACTTGTTTATGGGTGTGTTATGCACCACACTTATCAGCAGGAGGCTACATGGCATTTAGGACGGTCATTCTTTCTTCTTACTCTAGATCGTGTGGTAGAGCTCAGTTGTAAGAACTCAATTTCCTAAACTCTATCTTACTCGTAATACAACGATGCCTATTCAGAAAGTCGGTTGGTAAGAGATATAGCTGTGGAAGAGTTGAGTAAGAGGAACTCAATTTTTGCATCATGCTTATGATGGTTAAAAATGAGGTATTCAACATACTATGTGTATACTAAGATGTGTAAGCTCCTTGGTAAGGATCCCTAAGGCAAGAATACTTATCCACTCTTACGGTAAAAGGAATAATAGAATCGGAAGGAAGACACAAGTTTCAGCAAGTAAAAGAAGCAAGGTGAAGAAGGGTACGAGGTACCCAGTTAATAAAGATTATCATTATTTACCATTCAGGAAGGGAGATATATGCATTTTGAGTTACCTTCAACAATGACGGATGTACGAACAATTGGCCACACTGATCTCAGTTATGCCCTATGGGAGCTAACAGATATAGTTTAAGAGAAGGACGGGTTATCAAGATCCTACTAGGGTTAGAGTAACCCAAAATAGGGGATGGATTGGTAGAGTTAGTTGACATTTCCTAAGGATAGTGTAAATGTGTTAATAGATCTCTTTGTCAGACACCTAGATGGTGCACTCTAACATAGTACAGCTAGATATGAGTACTACAAAGATAGGCACTGGAAGCCTGTAAAGGATAAATATTATCTTAGTATGACTCCCGTCCCTAGTAAAGAAAGAATGTTAGGCAACCCGAAAAGGCAGTAGATGGAACAAGGAGAGCTAAAAGCAAAAGAATGTCCTGTTGAAGTTTTTAGAATAAAGTGATAGACAGAAATGTTAGCAGGATATAAGAAGAAAGCTACTGAAGCATTAAGAGTAAGATGTGATACTTGGATGATAACGGTAGGTCAAAAAGATGACAGTATTACAGAGTCTATAGTCAAGTGAAGGGAAAGACAAAAGGTGACAGGCCTTGAGACAACAAAAGAGTATAGGCCATGAAGTCATATCCTCACTTCGAGAAATAAGTTCGTGACTCCAACGCAATTACTGGAAGGAAAAGTTAGACCCTAGAATAATAGAAATCAGTATGGGCTGGTGAACAAGATAAACTAAACGTGAATTAGGGACTGAGTGATTGGATAATAGTCGGCATCATGAGAGTTTCAGATTTCGTTCCGGCAATAATAGAATGGACAACAGAAGAAGATTCATGAGAAATTTGGAGAATGGTCATTCAGGAAGACGATTCCCTAAAGCAAGCAATGTGAGCAAAGTTAAGCTTAAGGGACTATGTGTGCCAGTTACACTAAGTGCCACCCTCGCGAGTAAGGAATTTCGTTATCCTTGGTACAGAAGGATTACCGCAAGGCAAGTAAGGGTCATCGATAATGTGAAAAG